GCATCTGTGTCCAAAGGTACCGAGACAATGAGCATTAGATAACTTGTCCAAGACTATCACGCGACCGCCGTTGCCGGGATTCGAACTCCGTATCTTTGACGCACGTTGTCTGCCCACTGGCCGACTGAGCCGCGCTTGATTGAAGTTGATTTTAATCCACTATTTAGGCTTCATTTCTTGTTTTGTTTAAATGCTTTTATAGTATCTACAAAAAGGGCCAAGAATTTGTTTTTTTGAAAAGCCTCCCAGGAGCACACGAAGAGATTCGGACCATTTTCAACCGTACCACGAGAAAGCTCTTGCTATATAATTCTTGAGAAAATTAAGGTTCTAATTGACTTTTTAAACGAGAAAATTTTCTTTTTGCTCCCCTTAAACGCAAAAGAGGCGCAAATGCTAATGTTCGGCTATCTATGATGGCGAAATATCGGCATATTTTGATGTCGATATTTGTTAATCCTACCCATGGGTCTTTCATTTATATAGGCTTTCAGCTTACGCGAGAAAAGTCGATGTGAATGTGGAGTGACCCCAAGGGATTATCTTTTAGTGAACAGTGAACTGGAAAATTCAGACGATGCTGCTCGGAATAACTTTGTGGCCTCCTCAATTTGGATCCAACAAATTTTGGTAGATTAAAAATCAGACAGCGTTGAATAAACTGCAGATTACGTCTAGCTTTTTCGTTAATTGTGCACCTGACTGAATCCTGTGGACCTTTACCTCATTAATTTAAAAATCTATTTGGTAAAGCTACGAAACTTCATTGTTCGTGGAATGAGTCCGTTACATATGCAGAAAAATGATACCCCCTATAAAAGTGAACTTAAATATTATATTATATAGGAAGTACATTGCAAATCAACTTTTGACCGGAATGCTTTAAAAGGTAGTTTATCAGTTGAAATACTCTTTCAAAATGAAGCACGCAAGTTACTTAAGTTACTTAAACAAGTTTGACGAAGATGAAAAAAGAAAAAAATCAGCTGAAATATGACTGTCGTGTATGACTATAGATAAAACGTTTCGTACTTGTTGTTTGGTATTCGTTTATTTCCGTCTGTTTATGAATACAATACGCTTCGAGATGGACTATATAGTGCACATAGAAAAAAAAGGAAAGAAAAATGAGGAAATAAAGTTCCGCTGTGATCATTTATAAGATAGTAGACTAACTAGAAACTGTATTCTTTTCCAGTGTGAACGATTATAAGTTTTGAAAAGAAAATGATTTGTTTCCGTTAAGAACATTTTTTAATTTTGAATAACTAAACTTTAGAAGCCTTGTTCATGGCTAATGATTATGATAGTGATACACCTGATTATGGAGGTAAATTTAATGGTAGTAAATTTGGTTAAACACAAATGATGATGACCAAGAATATTTCTGCTTTAGAATTATCAGAAGAGAATATAGACGATATTGGAAGAGAAATAAAATCAATATTTGACTTAGTGAAAGTACCTGGTGATTATTGTGCTGATGGAAAAATAGATAATGTTTGTCTTCCTGGCCTTTTTATTCATAATATTGGTCATATATTATTACCACTCTCTGAAATACAAGCGAAATTGATCATTGAAATATCGAGTCAAGTACCATTTGGCATTAACGATCAAACAATTTATGAGAAAACGGTAGAGATGTCTCCTATATATACCCTTCTTTACTTTGAGCTGTAGTGAGATGTTGATATTTTACACACTTATGAAAACAGCAACGAATGTGGATTACCAGGGAAGTTTCAGCTCGTTTGCTTGGATACTGGTTCAAACATGATATCCTTCAATTTTTTCTCCGAACAGAAATTTCTACTTGAAACGGCAGCTTTGCAAAACGTAACGGAATTACAATCTGATAACTTCTAAGACCATTTTCGAAACCTTCACTGAACAGATACGACTCAAAATTTTATTGCAAACGTAACTTGGATCAGTGTATCTCAAAAAAATTTTGATGGGTTGAGCGAAACATAGACGTCGTAATGGAATTTAAAAAAAAAGAATATTTTTTGGATAGTTTTCGGGTAGTGAGTAAGTAAGTAGTAAGTAGACCCAGATACCTTCCGGTGTAGGGCGAGACAAAAAAAGCAAAAACAAAATAAAAAAGTTAAGTGTTCTTTGGCTTCTGGAGCTGTTCGTTCACATCCTGCTATCAATTCAAGGTCATTCATCAGACCACCATCCTCCAAAAGTATCTGGCTTAGATTGTGATCGTCATTTCATCAAGAGTGACAGTTAGAATTTGTTTTCATTTCACTTTTAAGTATTTTGATGTGGTTGTTCTTGCATCATTGAGGTGCACACGCTCTAACATGACCGATTATTTCTTGAGGTTTAAAGTTCTTTTGACAATTGGAACATTCGTAACTCTTGTTAGAGTCTTTCACCAATACTTCAGTCACCTTTCACTGAGCAGCTCCATGTAGAATGGCTAGTTCTTCTGATCTTCTGAACATGAGTGAATGTATTTATCTACCTATCTTGTGAAAATGAGCGGAGATCTAGAATACGGGGAACAACAGTCGACCATGTCTTTCTCGCACCAGAGCATGCATTTATCTGTGGAACACGGGCACAAGAGTAAATACATTACTCTATTTCTCTTGTAAAAGCGAGGGGAGATCAATGGGAACGGAGGAGCAACAGTGAATTTATTTCTGTGTTTACAAAGAAATAATAAAAAAAGGAATAGTTTGGTTGAGAGGGTAGCTGTTTGTACTGCAATCGTTGGATCCGTATTGTCCAGAAATATTTCATTTTCACCATTAATGTTACCATTCGTGGTCAGCTAGAATTGTATCGAATCTATCTGTCAAAATACTTAGGGCATACCAAAAGTAGTGGCAATGGTACTTTAATTCCTTATAGAAAACTTAAAGAAACTTTCTTTCTATATAGTTTGATAGAGAAAAGAATGCTCTATTTTTCTATGCTAGTTGATCATACTTCAACTAATATCATAATAATAAATATTCGATAAGATCTGTTTCGTTTCCATACGTGCTGGTTGTATTAATAGTAATTGTAAAAAAGACGAGTGAGTATCTTTTGAATAACTTTTGTTAGAAACAAAATACAGAACTGCGGTTTTCACCGTTGGAAAGAGGAGATGAAGACACATCGAATCGTATATTGCAAGATTTTCTGATTTGTTTTTTGTAAGGTTTTCCATTGACTTTTTTAAGAACAAACAAATCTGGTAAGTTATTTACAGTGAATTTTGAATTATCAAGTATAAATTCAAACCATTAATCGAAGATCTACAAAGTGCGAAAGGCTGAGATGAATAATATGTGTTCTAGTCGAGCCTCTAATACGATTTCCCAGCGAAATCTATGAAAACCATCACTATTTTTTGCTTTTTCGTTTTTTCATAAAAAAACTATTTTTCAACAGTTAGAAAATTGAATAAAAAAAACTTAAGAAATCATATTATAAAAACCTATAATATACTGTTCGATGCGTCTTTATCTACTCTTTCCAGCAGTGAAAACCGCAGCTCTCTATCTTGTTTCTATCAAAAGAAATTCAAAAAATACTCATCAGTATTCATATAACCAGCACGTATGGAAACAAAACAGATCTTATCGAATATTTATTATTATGATATTAGTTGAAGTATGATCAACTAGCATAGAAAAATAGAGCATTCTTTTCTCTATCAAACTATATAGAAAGAAAGTTTCTTTAAGTTTTCTATAA